ATTAATGCTGGTCTGACTGAGGCGGGAATTACCACTTGATGTATTTCAGACCACGTGTCTAGATGGGCAAGCTCAGGGGGTCTATAGGCCCTCATCAAAACCCCTTCATGATAATAAAAACACGGAAGGGTGTTAAAATCTTTACCCTCAACTGCTGCATGATGAAGTTTATTCAAAGATGGATCAGATTGTTGGGCTTTAATGAGCTCATCCTTACTAATGGTCTTATTGTACAGATCTTCTGTGGGTAGGAAGATATTAGAGGTGGTTTTAGATGAAGAGGGCCCATTTCGCACACTCTGTGACCGGGTGACAGCACAAGATGGGAAAAGGTGAGGAATAGTTTCTTCAAGGTCAGTGGTGGAGTTGACAGGTAAGGGAGAGTCGACTGTCTTTATGTTGGGAACCACTAGATCTCCTACCAAGTCATTACCCAATAATAAATGAATGCCGCTCACAGGCATTGGATCTTTCCTAATGGCTATTTGCACTTCCCCAGTAATCAAGGGACATTGGAGGTGCACTTTAGCTAAGGGATAGGAAGAATGGGATGAGAGATCTGAAATTAGAACACTCTCATTAGTAAATGCGGTAGATATATCAGGAATGACGTTAAACAGGAGGATAGATTGTGCTGCGCCCGTATCACGTAGTATACGAATAGGGAAAGAACGAGACCCCTCTATGATTGAAATTTTTCCCTCATAGGTGAATGAAGAGAAGAGATCCTGATGGGGCCTTTCCACATTGGTGGTTGCTATTGGTTTGGATTTGGGATCCAGGGAACTACTTTTAGCAAGTTCGACACTTTGGGTGTTTACAAGACTGGATCGTATGGCCTGGTTTTTTACAGTAAGAACAATAAAACTTGGTTGCATCAGGGGGGGGTAGGTGTGGGACCTTTCGACCTACCACTCACGTCCCCAAGGTTATCATCAGAGGAGGACCTAACATGTCGGGAAGTACCACGTTCTCTACTGCCCAGTGACTCCACCAACAAGGCGTACGCATCAGCCAGCTCAGCAGCACGCCCTAAATTAACCTCTCCACGCTCCTCCACATGCTTCAAGATGTGAAATGGTATCTTGCTCTTCCACTCCTCCAGGACTACCAAATTTAACAAATCCTGAAATGTGGAGGTCTCTGTAGCCTCTAACCACTTCTTAAAAACCTAAGCTTTTCTTGAGCAAACTCAACAAAGGTGTGTGAAAATGGTTTGGTTAGTTTACGAAACTTCTGCCGGTATCCATCTGGCGTGATAGCATAAGAGGTGAGGATATTCTTTTTTACGTTATCATAGTCATCAGTCTGGTCTAAACAGTTATAAACTCTACGAGCCTTACCACATAATTTAGGAACTAACACTGACACCCACTGGTCCTTGGGCCACTCATTCTTCCCGGCTATTTTCTCAAAAGTCCTAAATGACCCGTCCATATCGGATTCATCAAACCCGGGAACAAGGGAAGAAGCAGTAGCAGGGTTAAAAGCAGCTAGTCTCTCTTTTAATGCCACTTCTTTTGATTTAAACTCCGATGTTAAGGTGACTTCTATCTCTCTCACCTGTAGTTCTTTCAGTCTAACCTCCTGCTCCAACTTGGCCTGTCCCAACATTCCCTCTTGCTCCAACTTGGCCTGTCCCAACATTCCCTCTTGCTCCAACTTGGCCTGTCCCAACATTCCCTCTTGCTCCAACTTGGCCTGTTCCAACTTGGCCTGTTCCAACTTTTCCTCCTGCTCCAACTTGGCCTGTTCCAACTCGAGTTCTTTCATTTTGATTTGGAACTCGAACCTAGCTCGTTCTAGTTCCAAGGCGTCTACTCTTTGTGCTTTTTCTTGAGGGCTAGCCAGACCTGAGGCAACTTCTGAGTGAGGAGGGGTGGTGGATAGTGGTTGAAGTTTCTTGGACATGGGCGTTAATCTGTCAACAGCGGATTCTTTTAAAACTTCTTGTTGAACCAACACTTCAATCACATGATTTTTTAACATTTCCTTAGTCAGTTGCTGTGAAAATGGGATATTGTAATAGTTGGCTATTTCTTTCCATTCTTTCTTCAGGATATTAACACGTAATTTAGCTACGGAAGGATTTTCAATAAAATCCTGGAGATCAAAACCTGAGGTGGCCATTGTTAAGAAAAATAGGATAAATTAACTAATGGTCAAAAGATAAGATAAGTGGATAACCCTAGAAAATATCACGGCAGTGGATAACCAGAAAGTCCCAGAAACTAACCAAGTTATACCTAGGGAAATTACACTTATGATTATTGTTCTTCTGAGAAGATCCTTAGATAAGGATAAGAGACTTGAAAGAGGAAGGGCGTATTACGGCATTAATATAAAGATCCGGATTAACAACCCTAAGATACTTGAAAGAGGAAGGGCGTATTACGGCATTAATATAAAGATCCGGATTAACAACCCTGATATACTTGAAAGAGGAAGGGCGTATTACGGCATTTATATAAAGATCCGGATTAACAACCCTGATAAATGGTATGATTGACCCTGAATGAGATAATGAGAAGAACAATAATTGAGGCTTTATAATTATGGGGTCCTGGTAGAGCGGGGCGTCCCAAGATATCACTTCACCCTAAACTAGTGACTATGGAACAGCCTACTCTGGAGTGAGGGTACGGCATTAAACAGATCCGGATTCTTCCCTACACTCGATAAGACTTACTACACGACTGCCACGTGTAATAACAGGTAAGCCTTATGACACTTGGAACCTAATATCCTACGTCTGTCACTCTTACTATACGATAATACCAATATATGCACACACATATGAAGGAAACTTTAAACCACCGTATAGCAATTGTGAACAGAAGTGACTGGGAGGAATAATTAACAATGAGTAACAAGGGGGGAAGGAATATGGTACTTAAGGTCGAGTCCTGTCACGGTCGCCATTTGTTACGAGTTGGGGATTGAGAATATAGTTAAAAGTCTACCCAGATCCCAACAGGTAACAACTAAAAAAAAACAAAGACAATCGGACTATAAAAGGGTAGACAAAGGATGCGAGTTTTCGTTGTGTATAATAAAGTACCATGAATTCCTTAACAAAATATTCAGCTTCCTATAAATTACCCTTAACCATACTTAACCTAAACATTAACAGTATATACATATTAATACAACATAAAACAATTGTGAAGCAAGGTGGAGGTGGGAGAGGCAATACAAGATTACAAATACTTAAGTGAGGAGCTGAGATGGCTGACGAGTAAGGCTGAGTATTGTAGAAGACGGTAGGTAGTCACTGTGCCGTAGGTTTAGAGGATAGATGATCCTGTGGTCACTTCCCAGAGTGTAGTGCTCTCTCCTCGAATTGGAGCTCACAAAGAAGACTTGGAGGAAGTGACGCAACAACCAGGATATGGAGAAGGGAAACCCCGGAGTGGTAACTAAGACGAGTCATACTCGTGTCTCGTCCCTAGATGGCGTTGCTCGTGGTGCTGGGTAGGTAGATCAAGACAATAGATGGCGTAGTGCTGGGTGGAGGGGTTCGTAACAGTAATGATTTGGATTTAATTTTTGTACACTACTCACACTTTGGTGAGTGCTAACTCCCATTGTCCCCAAGACACGAGTACCAATATATTAGTGTCTGACCGCATGGTCTTGTGGCTAGGCTTGTTGCACCCTGGGGTGTAATAAATTAATTATATAATAAATAATAAGCCCAACTTGACTAAACAGATGCTCACAAGCAGCAGTTGCAGGTAGTGGGGTGTTAAACTTGAGAGATAAGTCACATAATGTTGGGAAAGACCTCAGTAGCTCCATTCCATCCCCTGGGCATTTCAAGTAGCTACGTATCAAGCTCCTTCAGTTGAGGAGTTTGTGGATGATTGTTGCCTCCATAGTCATGGAGTCTGCCTAAGACTCACCATGAATTGTCCCTCTGATTGGGGTGTGGCTATGGTGATGTCAGTCACTTTTCAATTCTAATTGATGAATGACTGAATTTTTCGCACCACGCAACATCTGGTAGGTGCTGGCGGCGAACAGTGGTACTTAGTTATATAGGCAGAATTTTAAATACACTCTGTTTCACACAGATGTATAGATACAGGCTTTATATCGAAGATGGAATTATGTACAAAGTATTTTAGAATCAGTCTCTTTGAAATTCATTTTAGTTACAGTTACTGTATATGCAAAGAGCAGCTGACATCTAATGGAAAGGTGGGGGGAAAAGAGGGGATAAGAGGGTAGGCTAGGTGAGGTGGGTGGTCAAGGTGCTAATGGACGCAAGAAAATCAAAGGAAAAGTCTGGTGTTATGTGACCGCGTGGTGTCTCCACAGACCCACACCATACCCTCTACCCAGAAAACTCTTTAGTATTGTTCATAATTAATTAAAAAATATATTAGTTTGCCACTGACATTAAAATTATGTTTGTTTGGGGCATGTTGTAACGAGTAATGATTTTCGTTTTTTCAATTGTATTGGAGTAAAAGTGTTAGAAAACCACACTAAATAAAAGTACTAAAAATTTTTTATCAATTTTTAAAAGGTAGATACATAAAAATGTTACTTGAGTACAGTACTCAAGTAAATTAATTTAGTTACTTGACAACTGTAAGTATAAGAGATGTTATTATAGAGCTACAGTATGTGTACCCATAATCATAGTTATCCTTTATCATCTGCTAATATAAAGTAAATGGTCACATGAAGAGAGCCAGTGGGCAGGTGTGTTATATTAAGTCAGGTAAACTTAGTAAGGGCTGTCACCAGGAGCATTTACTTTGTGATATTAATGGCAAGCTTTTTTTTTTTCACAGATTTTTTCCCAATTAATTTTACAGGTTTTTTCCCTATTTATGTCAGATTTTTCTCTTAATGTCACAGATTTTTCCCCATTAATGTCAGATTTTTTCCCTAATAATGTTACTGATTTTTTCCTTATTACAAGTTTCCCCTATTAATGTTAGATTTTTTTCCAAATTAATAGCCTTAGTGTTTCCTATTTTCCACAGTACAATGATTTGATGAGGAAAAAACGAATTGTAGAGAATGACAAGGCCAAAATTGAGAAGGTCATTCGTGAGTTGGACGAGAAGAAAAAGGAAGCTCTGAGGCAGGCGTGGGAACAGGTAAGACTCTCTCTCTCTCTCTCTCTCTCTCTCTCTCTCTCTCTCTCTCTTATATATATATATATATATATACTGTATATACAGAAATGCGTCGGTTAACGTCCTAGATACGTTCTTGGAAACGTGACGTTAACCGAAATGGACGTTGTCCGATCATCACATAAACTTTTTATTTATACTTATGTGTATGTGGAATACTATAAACAGTTGGTCCTCATATTACGCGGTCCCGCATTCCGCGTTTCACCGTTAACGCGGTGCCTTGCCAGAACCTAACATTCTTACATTCCGCGGTCGCGAACGCCATTACGCCGAGAGTGTCCGGCGCGACGCTATTTTTAGATTTTCCCCACGCGCCACGCGCAACCCGCCCGCCCGCCTGCCTGCCTCTCCCTCCTCCTCCCTCCTCCTCCCTCCGCTTGGGCAAGCGGCGCTGTAAGGTTGCGCAGTGTGTGTCTTTGTTGCGTTATCACTGACGTCATATGATGTATCAGACCTTTGATTGGCCATGCATCCCTACCCTCCTCTGCTGCTAGCTGTAATTGGCTTAAAGTATTATGACGTGTCCACCCGGGGGAGGGAGGGAGGGAGGAAAGACGACGCTTGACCTAGCCGCGGCAGTTTCATCCCTCAAGGCCACTCCATGAAGTTGACTTTGAGGGATTTGTCAGGGAGGCCCTGACAACTGTAAGTGACAGTGATGATGATTCACCTAGTAATGGTGATTCACCTGAGGGCCAGTAATCTACCCTCTGCCTCGGAACCAGCCTCCATCCCCGTATGCCGACCCATCTCTTCTACTACCGTAAGTGTTACACAAATCTAACCTAACCTTTATTTTTCCTATGTTAACCTTTATCTTTCCTAACCTAACCTCTTCTATATTACTTGTTTTTTCATACCATCATAAAGTTAAGATAAAATTTTTACTACAACATAGTTGTGTGTCGTCAAAAAGTGGAGTTTGGGGATCGGCCTGGACTCCATTTCAATTAATCCCATATGTTATGTTGTTCACTTTACGCGTTCCTCACTTTCCGCGGGACCCTCCGGGTTACATTAACCGCGTAATATGAGGACCAACTGTATATAGTGTTATGGTATTTGGTGTATTAATATATATATAGAACCAATATATATATATATATATATATATATATATATATATATATATATATATATATATATATATATATATATATATATATATATATATATATATATATAATATACTCATTCACATATTTTATAATTGCAGTCATGTACTGAATATTCTATGTACAAAAAATAAATGTTAAATGAATTATTTATGGTGCATTAGCGTACTGGCCACTTCAGACACAAGACGGGCTATAAATAGCCTTCTTTATCTCCCCTCCATCTCACCCTGAGCCAGAGGGAAGGGGTGGTGGTAAATAACATTTGTTTGCTTATTTTCCATTTACTTGAAATAGATTTACCGAATTATTTGTTTATTTATTTAAAAGTCATTTACTGAATATTCTATGTAAAAAATAAATTTTAAATTAATTATTTATAGGAGATAAGTATTATGATCAGTAAATATATGGTATTACTGGCCACTTTAGACACAAAGACGGGATAAAAATAGCCCATCTCCCCCTTTTACAGCTGCCAATGGGAAGCGTCTTGGTAATTAAATTTGATGTTTATTTTCCTTGTTTGTCCAATTTATCATGCATCAAAGTAATATTACTAAAAATTGTGTAGGTAGTAGGCAGCTACCAAACAGGTAGATACTACCGCCTGGGAAGATATTGGAAGCATAATGTGTTGTCTAATGATAGACCCTGCTGCCATATGGCATCACGAAAATTGTGACCAAGTCCCAGGTTGCTGACCTGACTTTCTGCCTCATTTACACACAATTGCAGTTTCAATTGTTCCTCTTACTTTGACAACACAACATACATACAGTATATTATTTCTCACTTTTGATCTTTTTTTTTAATTTTTGTATTTATTTATGGTTAGTTACTTAAAATAAGGCCAATTCACTTCAAGTAATGGCATCAAATGTTACCGGCTGGTGTAGTGTAAACACTAGTGACGTCACTTAAGCGTCTGTATTTAACTGTCGGTAGTTTCAAGAATTAACGCAGTCATTTACTGAATATTCCTTGTAAAAAAATAAATTTTAAATTAATTATTTATAGGAGATAAGTATTATTATCAGTAAATATACCGATATGCATTACTGACCACCTCCACGGCTAAAAATAGCCCAATCTCGCGGTCACTTTCCCTTTCTTGTCTCCTCACTGGCAAATGGGGGGGGCGTGGGGAGGGGTGTGTGATGATAGCTGTGTTTATTACAGGGGTATAATTCTCTTTTACGGTATGTTAGACAGGTTTATAATACATTTTTATTATTTTAATATACCGGTAATCTTAATTTGAATCCAGCTTGCCAAACGTAAGTTTCAGTATAAAATAATTAGTGGTAGGACCTTGTGAGTGGCTTACGATGTTTCCATCACCAGTCTTGACACACTAAACCATAATATTTAAGAGATAAGAATTTTATAACTGGTGATTAAGACGACCCCCTAACTTTGGGCAGATTTTTTTATGTTCAAATTCCGTCTTATAAGCTGAGATATACGGTATCTGTCAATCAAAGTACCCCAACTTGCCTCCCCCCCCTCTTCCAACCGCGCCAGATGGTCGGTCGGTCGATCCCAATTCCTCCCCCCCCCACCCCCCACCTTCCCTCCCTACCAGAGAAATGTTGGGTGAAAAAACTAGATTTTAACTTTTAGTAATAAATAATACCTCAGACTAAAGTTAGGATAATATAATTGACATTTCTGGATTCCTTGCAGGTCAGGGAATATTTTGAATGTAAACTTCATATATTTTGCACAAAAGATAAAATACTTGCTTTGTGTAAACCAAATTATTACATTAGATCTAAAATTTGTATGTCTAATGCAAAATCCATGATGTTTATATTCAAAATGATCATCATATTGTAAGAATTCCAGCAATGTAAATTATATTCTGGCCGGGTAATTTGTATGAATTTTATGAGCTAAAACATATATCTTCATTAAATAAACAAAGAAATATTCTTCAAGGACACTATCTGTCAATCAAAATACTCCGCCCTAGCTGGGTCGGTCCCTCCCTACCAGAGAAGCTTTGGGAGAAAATAGTATATTTACATTTTTAGTAATAAATAATAACTCAGACTAAAGTTAGGATAATATAATTGACATTTCTGGATTCCTTGCAGGTCAGGGAATATTTTGAATTTAAACTTCATATATTTTGCACAAAAGATAAAATACTTGCTTTGTGTAAACCAAATTATTACATTAGAAATAAAAATTGTATGTCTAATGCAAAATCCATGATGTTTATATTCCAAATGATCATCATATTGTAAGAATTCCAGCAATGTAAATTATATTCTGGCCGGGTAATTTGTATGAATTTTATGAGCTAAAACATATATCTTCATTAAATAAACAAAGAAATATTCTTCAAGGACACTATCTGTCAATCAAAATACCCCCTACTGGGTGGTCCCTCCCCAGAGAAGCTTTGGGGAAAATAGTATATTACATTTTAGTAATAAATAAAACTCAGACTAAGTTAGGATAATATAATTGACATTTCTGGATTCCTTGCAGGTCAGGAATATTTTAATTTAAACTTCATATATTTGCACAAAAGATAAAATACTTGCTTTGTGTCAAATTATTACATTAAAATAAAATTATGTCTAATGCAAAATCCATGATGTTTATATTCCAAATGATCATCATATTAAAATTCCAGCAATGTAAATTATATTCTGGCGAGTAATTTATGAATTTTATGAGCTAAATAAAAATAAATAAATTATACTTCACCCGCATATAGCCTGAGTAGATGCACATGAAAGTGAAAGTCCGGTTCTGGCAGGTACGTAAATGAAAATCATGGAAAAGTGAAACCGTTAAAGCGGGGTAATACTGTAATATAAAATTGTAAAAATTGTAAAAAGTGCATACATATCTAAACCCTGAAATAAAGAATATCATTAATACTTGTAATAAAAAACAATAAATTAGTAAAAAAAAAAAAAAAATTAAATAATGTTCGTTGCTTAGAGTTTTGTTCGTTATAGCATTCTCAATTTTATAGGTAAAACCGTTCGTTATAGGAATATTCGTAGTAAGATCCATTCGTTAGCATACCCCTGTTTATATATATATATATATATATATGTATATATATATATATATATATATATATATATTATATATATATATATATATATATATATATATATATATATATATATATATATATATATATGAACCCCGACTTACGGCGGGGTTTAGAGACTAAATCCAGAATTAAATAAGTCAGCATGAATAATTTTTTTTTTTTTTTTTTTTAAATAAATAATCTACAATGAAATACAGTACAGTAAAAGTAATGAATAATGAGGAATGGATACAGTACAGTGAAAGTAATAAATAATAAGGAATGGTTACAGTGTGACTGAGCACTTACCTTTAATGTAGTCAGCTGAATGCACATGGGGCCCCCATAATTTTCTAATTATACATGGAGACTACATTAACTGGAAACGTTTCGGTATAGAAAATGCGTGTCATTTGAAGAAAAAAAAAATTAATAAAAAATCTGAGGCGGTCGTAAGTCTCGACGGCCGTAAGTCGAAGCAGTTGTAAGTCGGGGTCTAGGTATATATATATATATATATATATATATATATATATATATATATATATATATATATATATATATATATATATATATATATATATATATATATATATATATATATATATATATATATATATATATATATATATATATATATATATATATATATATATATATATATATATATATGTAACCGGTCGGAATTTACTGGACTTGGGGTTTATTAAAGATTATAAGATGGTAATGGCAGTGGAAGCGCCCCTTTGAGAAAAATCCCGAACCAGCACAAGAACACT